GGAGAATCATGATGTGCTAAGCAGCTTGGGGTTGAGGCTGAAACATAGATGCATTAGCGTTCAGCCTGGAGAAGAAAAAAAAGAGAAGAATTAGTAAAAGCCCTCGGCCTTCAGCTATATGTAAACACATCGTTTTATTAAAGTCAAGAGTGCCAGGCTATGGCTGATATTATAGAGGGAATACAGGTTGAGATTGTATACATGGATTGGGTTACTGTACCTATGGGGCACAACTATAACAGCTTCCATATGCCCGTATGAACATGTGGCGCTTTTTAAACATCATCATTCACATTGAGTGATGGCCATGGTATTTCAGACAAACAAATGGGAGGGAAAGACAAATTTCCAGGAGGTATTTACTTACAGTACAGTAAAGTATAGTGAGGCATGACAATACCCCAAACTAAAAGCAGAGGTTTGGGTGTACACAAGAAAACTGGAAGAACTTTGGTCTTTCTGCACTTGTGGATATGACTACAGCAAGATCCATCCAAGATACTCTTCCAAATATCCTGCAGGCCTGCTGAGACTCAAACACTTCCAGACAGAGTGTAAGAACTGGCAAACCTTATCTGTCAAAAATACGTTTCTAGCCAGTAAGCAAGGTTTGTTGCTTCACAAAAATAAGCACCACTGAAATGTTGCCAAAACTAAAAGCTGCTGTCAAAGCATTTATATTCACAACATGTTGGATGTGGATGTCAGTGAAGGTTGAAACATTGGTTGTGTTACCATACCAACCCCCTTTTCTGTTTAAGTTAGCACAGAACGGCTAAGAGCTGGTAAAAACTGGTTGTGTTACATGCTTTTACAAGTTTCTTATTCCATAAATCATCTCACACGGCTCCCATAATATTAAACAGCCTACTGGGTGGTCATCATGGGTGTGCGCTACATAAACATAACATTGTTGTAAGCAGCTCTTATCAACTCACACTCTCTGTGTTTCTCTTTGTTCATGTCTCTGTGTAATGAAGATGGAAGCCTAGGCGGCACAAATCCTCTGGACAAGTGTTGAGATGAAGACAGGTCTTTGACAGAAAATGAAACGGAGAGTATGGTGTGGGCGAAGAAAGAGAGCAAGTGTGGAGGAGAGACGGAGCGAGGCAGAGAAAGATGTGTGTGTTCCTCTGGGCTGACCAGTGACCACTTGTGTTTGTTTGACTTTTTTTCCTTTCTGACCACTAACCTGACCAGACCGCTGCAAAAACAAAGTTTCTCCAACAGCGAGGGCTGGGATTCAAAAATTGGTCACAGGACTCATTCTAAAGGGTTTGGATACAACCAGTAGATCTCTATCTTAGAAACAGTAGGAAGTCATTGAATATTTGAATTCATTTGAAAAGCACTTCAATTGTTTTGTCAAAAGCAACTGCATCTTGTAATGTGTTTTTTTCGTCTTTAGTGTGTTTACTGGTTTGGCGTCAAAGTGTAAATGACTGTTGACAAATGGCAAGTGGCTCTAGACAAAAAAAAAGGGTTCAGCTGTGGATTCATGAGAAGAAATAATGTCTGTATGCTATGAAAGAAAAGACGGAAAAGGAATTTGTTTGTCTTTTCCTCATCTGATAATCGCTCAAGATTATAGCCACAATCACAAAAAACAAAACAGAGAGTAAATTAGTGCATGGCTATGGCTTTTGGTGTGTGAGTGTGTGTGTGTTAAGCTGGAGGCACATGAAAAATCATTTACGGTTAGAAATGTTAGCTCTGGTTTGGCAGTGTGCAACTGCCTAACCATTAATGCTTTCTCCATAAACAATTTCCCAAACCCAAAATATCACGAAATGATTCTTCCCCATAGACGCGGATGAGAAAGAAAAACAGCACATTTATCCACTTTTCTTAACTACTGTATTACTTTTAGTGCTACATGATCATGCATGCCTTCCTTTCAATTCCGATTTCTGCTTCATATGAGAAAAAGTTATTTAAATGCCGATCCAAATTGATGATCTATGAGCATGTTGTTTCACTGTGGTAGCAACAAATAGCTAAAGATATTTCATTGGAAAAATGATGAAGGATGCAGGATCATCATAATTTTAATGGCCATTTTGGCAAAGAAGCTTAAAGCGTTCCTGCTTATCAGATTTAAAGCTGTCGCAGTGTACTTTTTCACACACTTACTGCCATTAATCCTGACAAACACACTTATGCTCCTCTCTTGAGTTTCCTTTGGCGAAGCACAATCTACATCCAACCAGGCAATTTGACAGGGAATAAATGACTACGTATAAACTGTTTTGCGAACTTGTTTTGGCAATACAGCTTATAATGGGGGAAAATAAAAACCCTCAACAATTTTCCACAAAGGTCATTCAGGAATCTGCAGGCCAGCCCCCTGCAGGCTAATGGGATCATTACTCGGGGAAGAGAAGTATGCTAGATATTTGGCTAATTCCCTTTTGAATCCAATTTAGTCTGGATCAATTTCAAGAAATAATAATTTTGCTAAATCCCGCAGCAACTCAATTTAAGTTCTCTCCAAGTTCCCGGTCACTGCAACATGTCACACTGACAAGAGAAGGAAGAGAACTGGTTGTTCTGGGCTTGTACTCAACGGCAGATGAAGGATGTGGGAGCTCTTCAAAAACAGGGGAAATCCCAAATATACAAAAAAATAACCAAAAGGAATGAAACATTTAAAAAGCCTATAATGGCGGCGTAATCATTTAAAAGCCGACATGTTTTGAACCATGTAGGTCTTTTTCAGGGTTAATAGTTTTTATATTTCCTGCTTCGTGGTTACTTAGTCTTACATTCTGAAGCTCCTGGATTGACTTCCTGTTTATAACATCACACTGAAAGTTGAGTAATATAAGACAAAATGCAGAATAGATAATAATTGCTTGATAAATCTGTCAAGAAGTCCTTTTTAAAAGAAACATGAGATGGTCACCGATAAGACTCCCACACCTGATGGAAACAGGGAAGTAAAGTATGCCGACATAATGGGCTTCATTGTAGTGTGTGTGTGTGTGTGTGTGTGTGTGTGTGTGTGTGTGTGTGTGTGTGTGTGTGTCTGCTTTTCCTCAGCTGTTTCCTGCCAGCTCAGAGACCAACAGACTGTGAAGGCCTCTCGCTCGCTCTGCTCAAACTGTGCTGCTTCTCTGCCTCGAAATGACCAAAGAAACGTTGAATCAGGACGTTTCAGACGATGTCATCACAAGGAAAATCTGACTGTTCAAATTGATGGCTCTGAACATTGATCCTCTCTTCTCCAAACATATCCCATAATGAGCTAAATCACATTTTGGATAAACAGATTTTTTCCAAGTGAACATGCCCTTTACTGTAAAAATGTTTTCTTAAGGCTTTTATGGTTTCAGCGATGGTAAAAATGACTTAGGTAACTTAAAAGTCAATATAGTGCCATTTATGTGAAATGGACATTCTAATTCAACAATTTTGTTGTACTATAGTTTCATAAAGTGAACATGTTGAAACCATTCTTCACATCTGATGATAGATTTATAAAAAAGGGTGACATTTGATTTGGATTTGTCTATTTTCCATTTCTTAGAAGAAATTATTTCCGTTGTTGTTAACTACACTTTAGATTGAAGGTGTTAGAAATTCATTTTTGATGTATACTGATTTTGCACACGTTTAAAAAAAAAAAAGAATCACATTTTCCTGGCAAAGGTTATATGACCACAGGAACTAAAATAAATATTTAATTAATTGATTATTTACCTTCAAATGTAAATTAAACTCAGTGTATATATTTAGGCTTGTAACATAGTCTTTCTTTTGAACATTATATAATTTATTTGTACTTATACAGATTTGTGTTAAAAATATGTTATATTTAAAATACAGCATATAACACTGTCCGGCGTGAGAAGAATGATATGTTTGGGCAAAATAAAAAAACTAACTTTATCTAGACAGAAAATCAATTTGAAGGAATGATTGCAAAATAGCCCTCCATCTTCTTCTTCTCTATTAGGTCCAGGCAAAGCTTTGATTAAGCAATCAGGGGGGGAAATACCAATAAGACGGTCTGCTTTAGATAATCGTCAAATCAAGTTAAATGAATAAGCACAGACGTACGTACGCGCACACACACACACACACACACACACACACACACACACACACACACACACACACACACACACACACACACACACACACACACACACACACACACACACAGAGGAATCCACACTTAAGTAGATAACTTCTCTGGAATCTTCTTTGCTGTTATCTGCTCTCTGTATCCTCCCTTATCAGCCTCTTATGAGCTTGCTGCATAGTTATAGAGGAATTCAAAGAATTTAACAAACATTTCTGAAAGTGTGTAAAAGAACTCAAACAGACCAGTGGTCCGTTTCTGCACAGCTATAAACTGATAAAAAGGATGTTTTATTGAGCCTCCGCCCTATAGACACATCCGTTTCTGTTTTATTTGGACCCAGAGCTGATAAAGCTGGAGATTCATTGGTTTCGTCTGGGCTGGTTTAGTTTATTCTGCACGTCAACAGAATCAACAAACAATGAGAAGGAAAACACAACAAATGGGAATTTGTTATAAAAGTAGGTAAGAAAGTGCCCTGGGGGGAATATGTGGAATCTTAAAAGACATACCTTCGTATTTGTCCCATCCAATGAGGAAAAGTTTGATTGTGGAAATATCTTTTAATTGTATTTTTAAATGATATTCTATTTTCTGAAAGCAGCTGTATTGCCTTTCAGATTACAGAGAGAAGCTAATTAACCAGTACCAACTCTGAGGCCGGCATCTCCGTTTCCGCTTTTCTAAGTTGTCTCTGTTTTCTCTTTCTCTCCATGAGTCTGTTAAGCTGCTCAGTTGTTAAGCTCTGCTTTGCAGAAGTGCTCTCCTGACAAAAAGAGGAATTTAAGCCATTTTGTTGTTGCAATCTCCTCGACTGCTTTGATGAACAGAGACAAATAAAGACCCATATGTCTCTGTGTCTGTCGATAGCTGAAATGTTTCTGTTTTATGCATTTTAATATTGATCACCAACCTGCTCCAAAGGCGAAGAAGAAGCTCTTGTCAGGGTGATTCTCTAGCAGTGACTTGACCCTGTTCCCCATCCTCTCGTTCCTCTTGTAGATGAGTTCCTGTCGAAAGTAGCTGTCTATTTCCTGGGCGGTCACCTGCTCGCTGAGTGGCAGTGTCACATTGTTGAAGTTAGGGACCTACAGGGTGCAGAGAGGATGGTTCAGGTTAAGCCGAGAAGGTTAAAAGGGGAAGGGGGAGAGGAGATTCCTTTTCATTCAAAGAAAAATACATTCTAAAAACACATTAATCAAAAATGTGTATTTGAACTGAAGGTGCACCGGGATTGTTAGGAGGGTGAATGGGTAAATAATGGAGAGAAAGACATGGCAAGTAGGAACAGAAGAGCCAAATTGGCAATGTATAGAGAGGCTGGGTGTAGGAGGAGGTGTGGGGGATGAAGGGTCGGTCAGAGGGTTGAGGGGTGAAGGTAAAGGGTCAAAGGTCGTGTCACTGGGACACTCCAAAGGGTCAAAGGGTCAAAACGACTCTTAGTTTATTAATTAGGGAGAAATAATTTAAAGTCCACTGCTACATCACACAAGATGAAGTAAGACTGACCTGTGAGGTGTCGTGATTGAAGATGATGGAGTTGAGGTCTCCACAGTTGTAGTGTCTGATGAGGTCTTCGGTGGTGTAGGGGACCTGAAGGCTTCCGGCCCTCAAAGACTCCTGCTGTAGTAACGTCTGGTTCAGGGCAAAGATCACCTACAAGGAGACAATAGGAACCAGTTATTTATCCATTTATTATAACCATGACGGGAGACCCCAAGGCTCTCTGGCCTCACAAACTTCCTTTTAGTTTTTGCATTAGCAAGCAAAAGTTGTGCATAGGACCTGTTGCACATAGGCACAAGCCTTCCATTTTAAAATAGCCAAGCTTTCATCAAAAGCAACCACATTTATAAATCACTCAACCCATTTTTTTCAAGCTGTTAAATGATAGTGTACGATTGAGGAAGAATAGACATTTTTGTCCGATCAAATAATTACATCACGGCAGTTTAAGGAGCTTGACTAAGGTGATAAGCTGTTCATCCTACCTAAACTAAGGCAGGACTATTTGCAGTGAAACATTTAATACAGACCTAGTATTGGATACATTTTAGACCTGATTAAGACGCTGGACAAACATTTTAGAAATTAAAGACAAAGGAACTAATTCTGAGGTGATCCTCATTGCTGGTACACAATTTCAGGATAGTCCATCCAATATTTGAAGGGACATTTCACTCAAAGTCACAAATCCATCAGAGGATAACCAAAGACTGTAGGGTTTTTCATGTTGGGACCAACTCTTCAAAATGTCTTCTCGCTCTGTTCAATAGCTATTGAGATATTTCAGTCGGGGCTAAAGTGACCAAAAAAACAACATTGCCATCCCTTGAGTCACACTGTTATCATAGCTAAAATGTGTACATACATCTCAGACATATGTTTTTATCACAGTTTTAAAAGTAAACCAAAGCCCAAACAGGAAGTTAACCAGGTAAAATATTTGCTAAACTAACCACCACAGCAATGGAGACAGTTTAAAGCTTTCCTGCCAAAAACCCTCTACGCTCTGCTGCAGAGGGATTCAGCCTATTGTGCGAGCGTGAAATCGGCCAGTGTTTGGTGTGAGGGCCCCGGTGAGCCTGCCGCCTGTGATCAGCACCGCGAGGACACACATATGCATACATGCACACAAACACACATGAACACACTCATTGAAGGCCTCTACACACAGCGAAGCCTGAGACAGAAACCACCGCCACTCACCTCAGCACATGCCCCGCCTCTGATCCCTCCACCACACACACCC